CCATCAGACGCATGAAAAAAGACCTTCCCACAGTTTGAAGCATCCTTGCGGAAAGGCTGTGAGTTCTCTAGATCTACTAGGGATTTGCTTTTCTTTGATTTCTTTGATGCTGGTAAAAATCTATCAGGACCACGTGGTCTCTTCAGTTTACCACTCCGCGGGTTCTGTCGGGCTCCTGCCGCACTCTTTATTTCTTCAGTTTCCAATGACGACTCAGTGTCATTTGTAGATCGCGCTTGAGCTTGTCCACAATTTTCCTTGAGGTCAGTCATCTGGATTGAAGAGTCACTTTCACCGCTGGATAGACTTTTAATTTTTTGGTCACTTTTAACCAGAGTAGACAACTGTAGATGTCCAGTATGTTTCAACTGATATGGTAGACCTTCCTCATCGAGGTCTGAATGAATTTTAGAAATTCTGGAGATTTTAGCGGTCTCTTTTGCGTCTGAACAGTTTAACTGGCCACTGGTTCGCAATTCCACCGGCGCGTGTTCAGAATTACTTCCCAAGTTTGGTATTTGGTTGGGAGTTTCACTTTCAATGCATGACAGCTCTTCGTCATCGCTTATGAATAGGATGCTAGACTGGCCGCTGTCTATGCTTATCTGGTCAATGTTCTCTGGGTCTTGGTCAGAATGTGAATGAGGTTTGTCACGGCCTTCAGGATTGTCAATGTTTTCACTGAATACGTCAACTATCACAGGCCAATCAAATGTTAAAACCCGATTGTTGACGCTCTCCCCACTCACTGCTTGATTCTCTCCAGCTGCAGCAGAGGGGGATTTGTTGTCAGGCCTGAATGAATCATTCTTCCGTGCTGCCATCCCTTCCTTGTCAACGGTCTTCGCAGTAAGTTCTTTCTGACTTGGGGTCAGGGTTGGCTTGATTTGGCATTTGCATTTAGAAGCAGTGTTTGACCCCAAAATGTTTTCCATCCACCTGTCGATGCAGCAAATTTCTTCAATTGGACCGAATGTTTTGTCCTCAAGTTTTGGGTCACTCTGTGTTACATCGATAACATCAGGTAGCTCAACTTCCACAGAGCTATTTAAGACTTTATCTGGCTGATAGTCCATATCCACAACCATACTTTCTGGAGCCTTTATCACCTGCTCAAAGATGACTTTGGCATCTTCTGGGGTAAGAACTTGGATTTGAAAAGAGTATGGGTCACTGGAATCAGTGGCTTTCCTTTTTTTAGTTTGTGTGGAAGTTGTTTCAACACTGGGCTCTTGTTTTTCTTCATTTAACTCCACCTGCTGAAGTTCCGTTGATGACAAAATCTTGTTGGACACTTCATTTACGGTTTGTGCGGAATTGTTGCCTTCTTTCTCAACCTCACCCGGCTGACTGACACTCGTAACCGAATGAAGATGATACTTCAAAGATGGTGGGAAGTCAAACTCTTTGTCAATGTCATCAAGCTGCTCATTGACATTCAACCATAATGACTTGTAAGGCAGTTCTTTATAAACATCTGTATCTTTGAGGACATTGTAGTTCTTGAGTTCTGTGACTGCACTCCATGAGCCCCAAACTTGTGACATGGATTCTATCGTTGCATGTTCGCGGCACACTTTCTTGACATCATCCATTAAAGTATGGTACAGGCCTTTCTTAAGCTCACAAGCCAAGTTGCTAATGTCGCCATCCCAAAACATGCTCAATAATTTGTGTAGTGGGCTACGCGTGGCAAAATCTTTTAACTTGATCTGAGCTTTTTCACAATCCTGTATGTACTTTGATAATGTGACTCTTGTCCATGGGATTTGGGGGACTGAGGGAACCTCAACGCCATTTGTTGTCTCACTTAAGTCCATATCACAATTTTGGCTCACTGGCGCTTTGGAAGTTACTGATGGTTGAGCAGTTGGTGCAACACACTTGTGTACTTGCATGTCAACATCCAGTTCAGATCCTGCGGCAACCGTAGATTGTTTTTGCGGCGATTGTTTTTGCGGCGATTGTTTTTGCGGCGAGTGGTGTTCTTGCGGCGAGTGGTGTTCTTGCGGCGAGTGGTGAGGCCCAGCTGAAGACGACAGACGACAAGTAGCATTATTGGATACCGCTGAATGCAGGATTGCATATTGGCTGGAGCTCATTTGGTTTGGGTTTTCTGGGAGAAGAGACTGTCCCACTTTCAGATACCCCAAATGCTTGTTTTGTGGTGAAATGAGTAAACGATCTGGGTAACTCGAAGACCCATCTGCTGTGGCGCCCTCCGACAACTGACTGGCGGTGCAAGAACTGCTCTGCCGGCCGGCAACCTGGTAGCTTCCCTGTGACAATGGTTGCACAACAGCAACAACTCTCGTGCGGCCAGGGGACAAGAGACCGCAGGGGTCATTTGCCTTGGCTGATAGCATTTCACAATGGCTTCCATCTTGCATCGCTGAGACATTGATGACACTTGGCACAGAGCTTTGCTGAAGTAGCACATCTCCGCAATGCTGCGCAGACATAACACTACAAGTGGTTTGAGGCAAAGGAGGTCTAGAATTTTGTCGTATGGCGTGGGTGGCATTTGCGTTAAATATTTTGGCAACCGTTGTCACTGGTTGCACATTTTTATTTTGTCCGTAAGCTGAACTAGTATTCACTTGAGGTCGCCCATCTGAGCCAGCAGCAATTGGCATACGTAGATAGTTTTCAATTCTTGCGATAGTTTGGCGCCTGCATATTTCCTGTTGTGCAGCAGGATTTAAGGGATAATTATTTGGTTGTGACACGGAAAAGTTAGTTTCATGCTGTCTGTTATTTGAATTAATGCAACCGGCGGTCTCTCCACCATTGTTATGTGCTGAGGATTGTTGAAAAATCCGACTTGTGCTGGAAACCTGTAGGTTGTGTCCACTAGAGGAGGAGTGCGTTGTTTTGTTGTCGTTTCTGAAAGACTGAGAGACAGACATATAACTTGGGTGGAAACAATGCTGAGTGGGGTTTTGTTTGGGACTGTTATGAGCAGTCGGTCCATGGTGTGCAGCAGCAGGCCCCAATGTCCCATTGTAAGCCACCGCTCCATGTTGAGGCGAGGTAGCAGTTGCAGAAGCAGGTATAACTGATTTCCCATTTAGGTTGAGAAGACTATTCTCATCCCAACAATGATGGCGATCGGTCACGATATTACCATTCTGTGTCGTTATTGATGGTTTCCCATAAACTCCCACTGATTGGTTCCAATTTGCTGAATTGACTTGCTGAGGGCATACTTCTTTTGCCATCATCACGTCTGGTGGACTTGGGTGGATCAATAAATGATGCAATATGGGGTTTCTACTTTGCTCATTAGTAGGTGAGCGTTGCTGATAATTGTCACTTCCGGCAGTCTGCTGAAAATAAACTGCCTGATGAACTGCTGAGGTCTGCCAATTTGATGGCTGTCTATTAGAGTCAGCTCCATAGTGACATAGTTGAGACATGAGGTTTTGGGGTTTGACTCCAGCTATTACATACATTGACCCAATTGCATTCCCAGTTTGCTGATTCCCAAATGTGTTGGGGTTAAACGGAGAAGCAGCTGGTGGGGATTGTGTAAGTTGTACATTCTGTTGACCCGGTCCATTATTCCTGGTAAAAGACAGCATTTTTGTCCTCCTTTGGTGTTAAACGGTTGAGGTGGTAACTTTCCCTGAAAAAGAAAAAAAATGTAAGTTAAAAAAAAAAAAAAAAACAACATCAGGTGGTTGCATCCATTTTTTCTGCACATTTCCATTTCTCTCGTTTTGAAATGTAAAGTGTCATGACTTGTGTTTGTAAAGACATGATGTTAGCATGCGCCTTCCGCTACACGGTGGCCATACACTGCAAGAACATTCCCATTGTGAGATGCATATAGTGGTAAAAACATTCTGTAAACAACGGTCTTGTGCTAAAAGCCAGATCTCAGTGGTTGACCATGAGATGGAGAGATAGAAAGACCTAGGGTTTGCAGCTGTGTTTGGGAAAGGGGGTTATCTTGCTCTCACAGAACTTTGATCAGAGGAGCATTGGGTGTTACCCTCAGCTCCACCTGAGTTCTTATCTCAACTTGATTCGTGGCTTCTCGTAACTGGCGCTAAGAACTGTCTTTAAGTGTATAAAAACTCAGCATTTTTACTGCTCGGCGACGCCATTACACAGAACGCTGAAATACGTGCTTGTGTGTTTGACCCCCCCTGCTTGCGAGCAATGGTTAGAGCCAGATATCTGCGGAGAATTGATCATGTAATTTTTTTCTCTTCTAAATAAATGTTAACTTTTTGACTTTAACTGATCAAAGTGCTGGATCCTTCTCATCAACCGACTCGGGGGGGGGATCGGAGATCCTGACACCATCCATAAAACATTGAGTATTCTACACTTTCTTCATATATTTACAGTTATACAAAAACAGGCTCCTAAAACGGTTAGGTTTTGCTTTTATCGGGAATTTTAAAAGGTCCACTTACTCAGGCGCCGTTTGCAACTTTAGTTGACCGTTTTACTGAAAATACTTTCTAAGTAGGACAATTACCGTTACGTGTTCCCTTTCTGTTTTAACAGCGGTTGTAAACTACGCCAACAGACGCTTCCGGTGTTACACCCCTACTGGTTTCCCTCCGCGTGCGCGTTTGTGTTTACTCCTCAGCAGCAGATGTGTCTGCCTCCGTTTCCCAATTAGTCACACATTCACAAACATATCGCTGAAAATCTTCAAAAAACGCATCACACATACAATCTTAAGCGTTGCAATGGACAAGCGAGCACCACATCACGGCCACGTACATTTATTTAAGAAAATATATTTAAAAAGGAAAGACCTGGATTCGAACCCCGTGCGGCAAAACGTCATAACAGCAACTGTTAAAAGATCGATCCGACCAGGATTCGAACCCGTGGAGAAAAACACTAAATGCTCACTAAGAGGAGTGTCCTTTGAAATTCCTATAAAACATAACTGTTTTTGGGGCCTGTTTTGCGCAAACATGTGGAACATAGAATAACTCTGGGGCGTATTAAAAAAGTAATGCAACCAGTCATTAAACCGTTCATCCAGGAGCAGCAGCTCGGCGCAGTCAACTACCTAGGAGCTATAAAGTATAGATACATAGCGTCTCAAAGAACACTCCCATCTGGAGTAGAAGTAATGTAAGTAGAGATGCTCCGATCTGATCGGCGCCGATCCATATCGGCCGATATTGCCATTATCGGTTTTGATCGGCGTTCTCAAAACGGACGATCAAATTTGGCCGATCAGAGAGAGGGGAGATAAGAGACAAGAGACGAAAGGAAATAAATGCAAAGGTAATGGAATTCATATGCCTTGATCAGCAGCCGCTGTCTGTTGTGGAAGACGGCGGGTTCAAACGCCTTGTATCCTGCTTGGATTTCGGCTGCCGGGCCGAAAATACCTAACTGAGGTTTGTCTGCCGGAATTATACCGAAATGTCTACACGCACATTGAGAGCCTTATGAAGGACAACATCAGGGCAGTTAGCTTCACGAGTGACATTTGGAGTTCGAGTGTCTGTCCTGTGTCTATGCTGAGCCTAACTGCGCAGTTTATTAATGAACACTTCGAGCTGACCAAATGGTGCTTCACTCACAAGAGTTTCCCGGATCGCACACCGCTGAGGCACTTGCTGCAGCTTTCACAGATAGCGAGCAACCTTTCAGCACAGCAGGACATATTTTAGATAAGAGGAACAGGTTGACTCCTAAAAATGCTGAGATGCTTATATTTACCAAGGCAAATCTGCCAGTGATGCTGCTTAATCAGAAGTAAGGTTTGAATACTCTAGTATGCCCCCTCTCCGAGTGAGTGAGTCACTATACAGATAGATATACATGTTTTGTTTAAATGCTGACTTCCTGTGCACCTTTAATCTTTATTTTGTCGGTTATCTCCTCCTATAAGCTCTATTGGGAGCCTCTAGAGAGTGGAATGTTGCACATGTTATTCTATTGTTGTGATTTTCATTTAAAGATTTATATTTTTATTATTGTTTTAATATTTATTATTATTTACACATTTTATAGTAAGCGAGAGAGCTTTTCTACATTGGAATGTTGCACGTTCCCTGCAATAAAACGGATGGTTGTCAATTCATGATACTCTCGTCTCGTAATTTAAATACTTAAAATACAAAACCAATGTTGTTAAGAATAATTCATTTCATAAATAATGCTACAAAATAAATAGAATGCTTAAATCGACACTGTGATCGGTATTATCGGATCGGCAGATACTGATTTCAGTGATCGGCACCAAAAAACCTGATCGGAGCATCTCTAAATGTAAGTTAGAAGTATTATTTGAGAAACCCTGAATCTATACTTCATAGCTGTTTGACGTTGAAAAAACGTCTATTGAGTCCGTCGTTTAGACGTCTATTAGACCAGTGGTCCCCAACCTTTTACACCTCACGGACCGTTTTCATGTCAGACAATATTTCGCGGACCGGTCGAGACGGTCCGACTGTGGGGGGGGGAACAATTGTAAACGTGAAGAAAAACGCCTGGTGACGCGTGGGGAATATGTCAGAGGGACGAGCACACATAATTAGGAGAAAACCCGGTCAATTTTCAAAATAAAACAAATAAAACATTTTCAGAAAGAAAAAAAAAAATGCTATATATATATATATATATAGAGAGAGAGAGAGAGAGAGAGAGAGAGAGAGTGGATCTTTCTGTGGTGCGGCCCGGTCCGTGTAAGTTTACCACCGATATTATAAATCACGTTGAAAACGGGTCTATACGCGAACGTCTTTTCAACGTCTACGAATAGACGTTGAAACAACTTTCACCATGTTGCAACGTCTTTTCAACGTCGGGCATGGACGTCTTTTCAACCACAAAATGCTCACTGTGATGGAGTTCAAATTAATGTGGTTCCGATATTTCCTTTAATATGTTTTCTTAAATAAATGTCTTCCTACGTGGCTGCGATGTAGTGCTCACTTATACAATCGTAAACGCTGCAACGGATGTGTGATGCGTTTTGAAGACTTTCAGCGGTATGTTTGTGGACGTGAAACGAATCAGGAAACCGATGCGGACACATCTGCTGCTGTGGAGTAAACACAAACACGCACGCGGAGGGGAACGAGAAGGTTCGCCAGTGAAGAGGGTCGCCTGTTGAACCGTAACACCCTTCGGTTACACTCAGCAAGCTGGTTATCGCTCAAACTCATAACGTCATACGTTGTTAAACGGTTAAGTCGCTGACAATTTAAATAAGGCGTTATAAAGCAACACTGTTAATTGAGTTAGTTCGGTCTTTACGAGTCACAGCAGCGGTTTGATTTCCAACGGTCACACAAACACACGCGTCGATAAATACCCAGTTGGGTTGACGCTAACTTACCTTTGGGGTCCAACTTGAACAGTTACGTCAGCAACATCGTCTCTTTCCCCACTTTCGTTACTCCATATTTTTCTGAACCAAAGCGTAATCCTCCCGGTGGTAACTCGACCACCGTTACCGCGCGCAGTCCGGTCCGGAGAGATTCAGCTGTCCCTCCCCGCTCATCAGCTCCTTAGATGTGTGACGTAAGGAGGAACACGCCTCGCCCCCCTTTTTCATCCACTAGCGCTGCATTCTAACCCAATGAAAAGTCTGCAAAGGCCGGATAGATTGGCCCTGGTGCAAGGCATGGCTTTGGGGTTGAGGAAGAATTGGTCATAAACACTGTTTGGGGAGGAGTGGGGTCTTTGATGTGTGAAGACTTTGTTCAGGTTGCAGGCTCTCCTATCTAACCTTGCTGTGGTTAGATAGGGGAGCCTAACCTATCGTGGTTATCACTCCCTGCATGGAGGGGAGGGGGGCATCTCCGTGGTAATTTATGATGAGAAGTAGTTTGTATGGCACATTTAGAGGGAAGGTTTTCATTAGTTTTAAAGAGCTTTCTTTTAGCATGCTCACAAAATATCTATGTGTGAAAAAAACGATGTTCAGGATGAAGATTATCAGCTCGGTCTCATAACGTAGAAGAGCCGTATTTGGCCTGAAGTTCAGAGTGTTTTATGTGAAGCACATGTGTCCTTCACAGGTCATGGATGGGGCGTTGACATCAGGGTGAAAATTGTGTGAAAACACCTTTGCAAGTTTAAGAGTACACGGAAGAACATGCAGACTCCACACAGAAAGGCCACTAGGGGGAGTCGAATCCATCTTGCTGTGAGGCGACAGTGGTAACCACCACACCACTGTGCCGCCCTAACTTTTGTGTGTGATGAAACCTATGCAACCCTCATAGACTTCTTTGTTCTTGGTACCTGAGCAGTAGCATATACAGTAGTGGTCTGTGGACTGTAAATGCTCAACTCATTTATTATTAAAACCACTTTATCGCAACAACAAATTCTGAAGTTGTTTGTCCTAGCCTAAAGGTTTATAGTGTGTAGCATTAAAACATATTATTTGAGACAAGTGAAGTAATGTAATTGTATATTAAGGTGGACCATGCACAGATGGTGTGGCACAAAGAAGAGACACAGTTCTTCTTCATGTCAACACAACCAGACAATTGCAGATTAAGAACTATCTACATATGGAGTCTCATACGTATATGGAACACTCATATACTACCTATGTCATCATAAATAGCCTATACAGCACGTTTTTTTCACATTGAGAAATGACTTGTTTTCTAATCTACGCGTCACCAGGCGTTTTTCTTTTACCGTGCACAACCGGCGAACACAGAGCGCGTGACTACTACCCCCCCCCCCCGTCGGTCGTTCCTCCCGCAACTACACCCCCCCGTCGGACCTTCTCGACCGGTCCGCGAAATATTGTCTGACATGAAACCGGTCCGTGAGGTAAGAAAGGTTGGGGACCACTGGGCTGATCCAACGTGTGTGTTTACACACCTCCTGGATCCTGATTGGTGTCGCTGCTGCAGCCGCAAGGCACTGATTGGATGCTCACAGACCGTAATACAGCGCAGATGAACATGATTCAGACTACAGGGTTTATATGTTCAACAATAGGAAACGTAGTCTTAGCTGTTTTAAAATTACACCAAGTTTATTTCGGATTATTCCAACGGAAGAATACAAGGCGCAGGGAACTTTGAGGTGCGTAAACGCCACTTAGAGGTGGGTAAACGCTATTTATAGGTGCGTAAACGCTATTTCCAAAATTCCAGAGGTGCGTAAACGGCGTTTACGTGCGTTTACCCTCCACTACAGCCCTGCCGCTGCCCAAGAAGGTGTTTGTGCTATCATAAGAGAATATTGCTGTGCGTTTATCCCTGAAAATGACAAAGACGAAGGCATTATCCATCAGGCGATACAAAACATGACAAAACTTCAGGAATCTATGGCAAGAGACAAATCTCCCTCCCCAGATTGGCTCACACGTTTGTGGTATTCATGGAAAGGAACATTAATACAAGCAGCTACTATCCTCTGTGTTCTCTTTGCATTCGTAATTTGTGGTATCCCATTGATCCGTCATACGATTGCCCAACTCTTGGCGAAACAAATAGCTATGTACAGCCTGGGGTCACCGGATGACTCACCACCAAACTTGTTCCCTGGACGTGACTCTGACGATAACCCCAACAGTGACTCGGACTCCCTTGACGAGCTGAACACTTACGACCTCGACACATACGCAAAGTGACATAGTGACACACTGTGTGCATTCCTGTTGTTCTAAATGTTTTTTGTTTCACAGTAGCTTGCTAAAACAATGAGAAATAACATTCTCACAAAAACAGCTTTTATCCCTGCATTTATTAGTATGTAACGTAAATATGATCGATATAATGACCTTTCCACAATATTCTATATCTGTATTGTGTGATAGGGAATCAAGTTCCGGTATTGTGATTTAAACATGTTTTCGTTTCTTTTTTATTTCAATACTGTACACATGACATCTGGGGTGTAACTGTCAGCGGCCGAGGTTTCTTCTTAAAAACTAAAAGTGTTGCCAACAACGCCACCTAGGTAAAAGCCCTAGAAACTCTAAATAATTAAAAACAAAGGTTCGTTTGTTTGGAGGGGAGCAGTAAAACAATGACCCAAGAGGAGACAGGGGCGGAAATACGACTAAAAAAATATTTATTTTAATACAAAGGTTAAAATATATAAAAGGGAGCTAAAGTAGTCCGTCCAGGGTCATCACCACAGCAGGAGCGAAGTCCTGCGCGTCCCTAGTCCACTGGTGTGGACGTCTGACTGCCAGTCGCCCTCTGCTGCTGCTGCTGCTGCTGCTGCTGGTGGTGGTGGTGAGTCTGCTCCTGCCCTCCGCTGCTGCTGCTTCTGGTGGTGCGTCTACTGCTGCTGCTGCTGCTTCTGGTGGTGCGTCTGCTGCTGCTGCTGCTGCTTCTGGTGGTGGTACCTCTGCTTCTGTCTTTCTTTCCTTGCTCCTTCTCCCTTCCCTCGTGTCTCGTTTCTTTCCGGCTCTCCTTGTTGCTCCCCGGCTCTCCTTTCCAGTTTCGCCCTGTTTCTTCCCTGATGCCAGTGTTCTGTCTTCCTGCTTAAAAAGAGAAAGTCCTGCCCCTGCCCCAATTGCTAATGAGTTGGGGACGATTGTCAATTGAGGACACAACTCAAACAAAACTCAAAGCAGATTATAAATTGTCCAGCATGCAATCACAAAACAACAAGTCATAGAAACATGTAATCATAAAATAACAAACTGTAAAACATGCAACAACAACTCAATAAAACATGCAATCAATGGTCCCCAATCGTCCACCCAGTGACATAACGCTCAAATCCTCCGAGAAGGTTTCCAGTCTTTTTGCTCTCCTAACAGATTTCTTCCTATTTTCCCCCATTTCGGAGGGTTTTTTAGGGAGATTTTGTTCTGTGGCAGGCAACGTTTTGTGAGCGATGTCCAGATGTTCATGTTTGTGATATTTGATGTGGTAAATATCAGATGGTAAATTTTTAGAGTAGGCTTTCTAAATTGATGCATAGTGTGTGATTATTATGTAATCAAAAGAGTGGAATGTAATGGGGAAATGATATGTAACCCTTTTAAATGCTTCATTTGTATAACCAGTTATATATAAGTGCTTAGATGACAAAGGCCCTGACATAAGAACTGACGTCTCCCACTTGGATTAGATGTTTCCAGCGTCATAGCTGTAGAGATTGAACAAAGTGTTTGTTATGTCTATGACCACCTTTGTTTTTGAATGTTGGGAGAGCAAGGACACGGTCAAAGAACTGACGTGTCTTACATGGATAAGATGTTCCCAGTACCCTGGCTGTAGAGACTCAACAAGATGGTCAAGGTTTCTGTTGACGCCACCGATATCTAAACTTAGGTACAAAAACTGCCTCGATGTGTTGGGGGGAGAAGGAGGTTCTTGACAGTCTACTAACCACGTAGCTGTTGTGACCTGTTGTACCTTGCGTATTCTTATAATAAGCAGGCGAGGCGTGATATACGTTTCATGAACTTTTAATGTCAACTAGCACAGTCCGCTGTAATGCTACCCGGGGTCTGCCGCGCTCCGCACCGCGCATGTCCCCTCAGCACTGACTAGGGAATGCTGGGTGATGGAGTTCTTTACCTTAACAGTAACCAGTAACATCTAGTAACATCACATGACCCTCTTTCCCTTGCAAGAAAATAAACGGAGAAAAGACATACTTGACTCAGAGCCTTTGTTTCTTACTTAACGATTGTCTGTGCAAAATCTTCCACCACAGAACACAATTTGTAACCTAACAGAGGAAAGCCCTGAGGGTCACAAAGGCCTATACCCTCAGGAAAACAGACATCTTAAGTTTTAACGAGGAACACATATGTCGACTTAGTGCAGCATCATGTGACACAGCACCCCAGCCGGTGCCAACCCCCAAACGTCGTCTTCTTCTTCTCTTCAATGGTATGAGAGGCCCCTCCACAAATCAGTGAGACACTGGTGCTTCTGTTCAGATTCACCATTAAAAGCTTAATGCATGAATTAGGGGGCTATCTTCTTTTTAGCCAACAGGACACACTTTGTAACCTAACAGAGGAAAGCCCTGATCGCCACAAAGGCCTATACCCTCAGGAAAACATACATCTTAAGTTTTAACGGGGAACACATGTGTCGACTTAGTGCCGCATCATGTGACTCAGCACCCAAACGGTGCTAAACCCTAAATGGCTTGAGAATGGGTCCCCTCCCTGAGCCCCCAGGGATGGAGAAAAAACAGTGTCCTTATGTGGTGAACAGTGAGCAGTTTGTTTAGTTTTAATCAACAGATGAACCCCCACCCCCACTGAGACCCGGGGGTGTGTGTGAAAAACAGGATCCTTAGGTGGTAATGATGTTGCATTCGGGGGTATGGGTCTCCTATATAGATACAGCCGCGGTTCACTTCTTGACACCCTGGCAGACTGGTGCATCTTCACATTTAAGACATTTCCATTGAGAGCCAGATGTACTACAAGGGGGGAGCAATGGACCAGATATGTGGTAAGTACTTATTTCATTGTCAAATATATATATATACACACACACATTGGTATGAATAAAAAATAAATTAAAAAAAGCTTTAAAGATTGTACTATGTCGAGTGAT